GTTAGAATTTTGACGTGAAAAAATTGGTGGATCTGGTTGATTTATATAATTTAATTCAAGTGATGAAATATGTGGAATAAATAAAGCACATATACTAATATCAGTTTCAGGACCAAAAGCAATAAATCGACAATGTTCTTTGAAATCAATCTAAAGCAAAATAGAGATTTTTTTTATTGTATAGATTGAATGATATTCTTTTTCTTTAAACTTTATATCGGTAAGTATATTCCTCTAATAACTACAATAAAGTAAATATTTGAAATCATTCAGACACACTCTTATAATGCTCTTGGCAAAATCAATTTTGAAAAGAAAATATCCATATCCTTGGAATACTAATAGGGAGGGAGCCGTGGGTACTTCTGAATTTTAACTTCAGGCCCATTTTATAATCTAAATAGGACAAAAAAAAATCCGAAATCAGTCTATAATATTCTTGTTCTTCTTTCTGTTTTTTTTTAATTTCATTTTATTCTATGCATATAAAATAATTATTTTTTACCTGAAAGTAGTTCACAAACACGAGAAACCTTAATCGTTGACATATTTATGTACACGAAAGATGTCAGATGTGGGTAACAAAAAAAAAACTCATGTCTGTGCTTGATCACGCTCAAATCTGAGTACGTACGTGAGTTCAAAAACATATGGAACGCAGCTCTGTTATTAAGGGAAGTATCTTCGATTGTAGGGAATTCAGTTCGACTAACGAAAAACTCAATGTATTAATTTTAATCAACATAAAAGAAAACATTGAAAGACTTTTATACTGACTTCATAGTGTCACTCTATAGATATATACATAGAAATTCAAAAGCATCGTTTATATAGGATTTTCTATGACTATATATGATAGTAATTTCTGTTAAGAGGCGTCTTCAGAGGTCTAACGAACGCTGAGACAATACTGCAAGTTATAGGGTGTGTTTTTCTGTATGTAATAAAAAATATCGTCAAAGTGTCAAGAATAATGACGTAGTAAAATCTTTTTTTTCTTTTGTTTTTGAAGAAACGAAAAAATATCCTTGATTTATTTTCCAGCTGTTTCACACGTATTCATTCCCAGTGTTATAAAGAAAATTGGAACTAAATAAAGATTTTTAAAATAAGAAAAAAAACGTATATTTTATTGTTCTTTTTGTAATATAAACTATGTCATTTTATTACTATTTATAGAGGTTGACACATGTCAAAGTATATAATCGAAATACATATAAGTGTAGAAACCTGTTAGCACAATTCTAATGAGATTAAAATATAAAAAAAACAATAGGACTCTTGTTATTTGACAAAAAAAAAAAAGAATTTGCCAACATATGTTTCAGTTTATTTATTATCATCTATTGTTAATAAATGTCAATGATGAAAAATGTTAATTCTAATATATAATAGCGATTGTGAAAGAATAACTATTTTCACACTTAGTCGTCTTTTATATTAATTCTGCAATAGACTCTCATTTCGTGGGTGTATCTGTTATGATCTATGAGAAGGGATATTGCTCAACTATCCTTCAGCTCTGTACAGGAAACATAGCGAACATTATTCAAGTAATTTTCACAGTCTGCGAGAACCGAATACAACAGATAGACAGGTGATAAAATTTTTCCAGTTGATCTCTAATTTTCTCAGTAATATGACATGGAACAAAATAAAATATAATCTCATGTGATAGTACATATTAAATATTCTAGAAAATGACTATTCATTTTCTATTGAAGAGGATTTGCTTAAAAGAGTGTTTTATCAAAAATACTGAAAATTATTTTATCGTTTTTGCTTCTGCTGTTTGATTATTGGAGAAGGACTCGACTCATATTTCCACTCCTACACATCAACATTTGTTTTAGATCATATTTCACAAACAAGGTTGATTTATTTTCTACAAAAAAACAAACCTTTTACAAAATAAAACAAAAATTAATTACCTCACATCTCTTTCATCATCTCGATAAAGATGAAAAAAACGAGTAATGCTTATATATATATAGAATTGCTTTCATCGGCATATCGTACGATGGACGCTAGCGATGATATTAGCATTAACGTACAAGGTTTTTATCTGCGAAGACATGTGACAGATCTCATCAGAATCTTCGTTTTTTTGAAAATTATAGAAAACTACAAAGTCAACATTTTGATTCAGTCACATAAGTTAATTCTTTTTTTTAGTTCGTGATAAAGGTTTTTTCAAAGACTTTTGCTTTGATAAAGAATAATCTAAAGAAATAATAGTTTATGTCAAATAAGAAAACGACATGTAAGACATTTCATAGATAAAAATTGAGTTATCATATCAGAGAATAACAAGAAATGAAAACAAACTTCATACAAAAAAAACAAATACTACGTGCATGTATATAGAGCAAATTATTAGAATTAGTTAGTTCGAACACACTATTGAAGCCCTTTAGACATTGAAAAAACAGCTTCCTTGCAAAAATCAATGTTCCATGTTTGAAAATTGTAAATATTATCATTGTTGACATTTAAAATAACAAATTCTGATAATTCTCTTTACATACATCAAATATATAATTCTTTATAAAGTTTATTTTGATTTCTTCTTGTTATTCTCTTGAATGACAATTGAAAATTATCTATAAAACGCTTTATATATCTTTTTCTTTAGATTATTCTTATTAAAAATAAAAATAAAAGTCTTCCAGTAAACTTCTACTATTAATCAAATAATTAACTTAAGTGATTCAACCGAAAGCAAAGATATTTGAAGAGTTTTATTGAAGTGTTACTAATACTTCATCATATAGAATTAATTAAATTCTTATTTTATGGTCAATTTATTCTTAAATATTTTATTTTTTTCGAGTTCTTTATTTGAATTATTCTAGATTAGAAAATTATTTTGATAATAATACTCAAAAACTATCATTATAAGACATTTACTTGATTAGATTTCGAAATTCAATTGAAAATCTTAATCATTCATCAAAAAACCATCCTATCGAACGAGTACTATTGAATGTTTTTTTTTTAGTTTCTATGAATTATAGATATGATATTTAATCATTTTACAAAAATAGAAAAGAAAACGAAATCATGCACGAACATTCAATGTCAAATTGTAGCTTCTATCGACTTATCATGAATCATTTTTCTATGTCATTCATGCATGTATGATCAATGTCATAATTTTCATATCAATCATTTTAAATTTAAGTGCTTTGAATAGTTTTTAATTATAATTCTTTAATGTCTGATTTAAATCGTTCAAAATAGAACGTTTAATTGAATTAATTTAATTATTATGTTAACAATTTGTTAAAAACAAAAATTTATTTAACTATATCATATCAGATTTAATGTATTAATTTGAATACTTCTATTTTGATTTCATTATGAATATAGTAAATAATAAGCTTTATATGAAAATCAAAAAAAAGAAAAATAGACTCGGACGCATTCTTTTACCTTATTTTCAAGATTTTCTTCATCTTCTGTTGTTATGTTAAATAAATGTCGAAGAACATTTGAACTTTTTATTATTTCACATACAGTTTGAATTGAACCTGATGGAAGTATAGATGAACAATATGGTGTTAAATAAAATTCTTGTGAATGAATATTTTTTGATAAATTTGATTGATTAATATTCGGTGATGTTGGTGATAATGGATTAATTTGAAAATTATATTTAAGTAGAACATGTGGATAAGATTCAAGTTGACATATAGGTAATACTACAACACGCATTACTTTATTTGATTGAAAGTAGAAGAATTTTTATATACAAAAAACTAACATATGTTCTAGAAAGTAAAGAAATATTTTTTTCTTTCAAGAAAATGGCTATTCATAAAACATATCTAGGACAAGGAGAGTTCAACAAGAATTGAATCGAAGAAAGAAAGGTACGCTCTCCTTTCGTGATCCAAAAATTTTGTTTTCTATGGTTATTGTATACTCTGAAGTAGCATCTATTTACTGAATACATGTAAAATATTCTCATTAAATATTCAAAAACTAAATTTTTCATGAAGAAAGGTGCATAAACGTCCCTTGTACTCAGACTTAGTCTGCCCGATCGAGCTAAAACATTTTTTACATATACTATACAGTATTTGGGATACGCATTTTCTTTTTGTTTTAAAATATACTATTCTACTGATTTTTGGTAGCTCTTACATCAAAAACATGGAGTCATTTGTCGCGACTATGATCCCAGTATCTCATAGAAGACAGCATCCGGATACTTTTAGTCTATGATAAATTTTGTTCTATGAATCAAGATCTATGTACCTTGAAAATTTCAAAATTTTCTCATCAATCTTTCTTCAGAAACTCTGAAAACGGACGGAGTAGTTATTCTTATATTGATTTTGATTAGCATTTTCGACTGAGTACCTTCTTAAAACTCTATGAAGCATTAACTATGAATAAATTACTTATATCAAACGCGTAATAGGAAAAAAATTATATATTTGAGCAATTAGATTTTTTTTCTAAAAGTTTGGGAAATTGAACGTTCACGTAAAAGAGGGAAATGGAATCAAACAATATGATTTTTCCCTAGACATTCTCTATGCACAATATCAAATAAAATATATTGAAAAAGAAAATTTAATTTTTCTTATTTATGCTTGTCGTCGATCGAACAGTGTCTTTCTCTCATCTTGGTTAGCTTAGAACTATTCTTTCTTCCTCCACTAGATCATTTAATTAAAAAAAATAATAGTAAAGAAACAAAACGTAATTT